GCTTTCTGATTTTCTTTATAACCTAGACAATAGATGTCTTTAAGATTTTTCTTCTTCTTTTTTTTTTCTTTTTTTTTCGTGTCCGGCAACGGACCGCAACCCTCAGTGTTGCGCCCGTACCAGACCGGGACCGGCAACGGGATCGCAACCCTCGGTGCTGCGCCCGCCCCTCGCTCAGCCAGTGAGCGGGAACCGGTCTGTATGTGGGATCCGAACCCTCAGCGGGAGCACCTCTGTGCTCTCAAGTGGCGCACTGTAGCAGTGCGCCACCGGGCCAGCCAAGATTTTTCTTATTTTGAAGGTAATTTATTTTTTAAAAATTATAAAGTGCATGCTTGTTAAAGAAAATATGGAAGATTATAGAGTGAGAAAAAAATTATTTTTTTCTGGTGGCTGGCCAGTATGGAGATCCAAACCCTTAACTGTGGTGTTGTAACATCATGTTCTAACAGACTGAGCTAACCCGCCAGCCCTATAGTGAAATTTGAAGAAAATAAGGTCACCTATAACTACATACTAGGAGACAACCATTGTTCATGTATTGTTTTTTCCTTATAATGTTTTCTATTCATATCTATGCATTTGCATTGTAGAAAAAATTATTCATGTATCTGTAATACATATGACATATACAGATACATGTTGTTGAGACTATGTGTTTTAGTCCGTTTTGTGTTGCTATAACAGAAACACCTTAGACTGAATAATTTATAAAGGAAAGAGGTTTATTTGGCTTACGATTCTGGGACAGAATCTGGCGTGGGCTTCAGGCTGCTTCTACTCATGGTTGAAAGTGGCAGGCAGCTGGAGGGTACATCGCGAGAGGAAGCAAGAGAGAGAGAGAGAGAGAGAGAAGGTATCAGAGTCCTTTTAAGCCAGGAGCCTCCTTGGGAACTAATAGAGCAAGAACTCACTCATTAATCCCCCCTCCCCCAGGGAGAGCATTAATTCATTCATGAGGGATCCGCCCCCAGGACTCAATCAGTTTCCAACACTGCCACATTGGAAATCAAATTTCCACCTGAGTTTTGGAGGGGACAACACATCCAACCTCCATCACCGTCCTTTGTCTATATAGATTTATACTCTACCTTTTTTGATATATATTGTGTATTTTCCCATATCTTTAGGAAATTCTTTTTCTAAACACCTTTTTTTTAACAGCAATTTTTATTGATGATGAATTTTTTTTTTTTTTTGTCTTTTTTCGTGTCCGGCAACGGATCGCAACCCTCAGTGTTGCCCCCGTACCGGACCGGGACCGGCAACGGGATCGCAACCCTCGGTGCTGTGCCCGCCCCTCGCTCAGCCAGTGAGCGGGAACCGGTCTGTATGTGGGATCTGAACCCTCGGCACCGCGCTTCCCAAGCGGCGCACTGTAGCAGTGTGCCACTGGGCCGGCCCCTTGATGATGAATTTTTATGGAAAGGATTTTAAAAAATTTTTGTCAATTAAAAAAATAAAACGCGAAAAACTTTAATTTTTTAACTGACAAAAATTTTAAATGCTTGTCATATATAACATGTTGTTTTGAAATATGTATATATTGTGCAGTGACTAAATCAAGCTAATTAATATATGCATTACCTCACATGCTTATCATTGTTTTGTGGTGAGAATGCTTAAAATCTTCTCTCTTAGCCATTTTCAAGAATACAAGGGCCGAACCCGTGGCTCACTGGGGAGAGTGTGGCGCTGGGAGCACAGCGGTGCTGGGAGTGCTGAGGCCACGGGTTCGGATCCTATATAGGGATGGCTGGTGTGCTCACTGGCTGAGCGTGGTGCTGACAACACCAAGTCAAGGGTTAAGATCCCCTTACCGGTCACACACACACAAAAATAATACAATACATTTTTAGTAACTGTAGTCACTGTGTTGTACAGTAGGTCGCTTGAACTTATTCCTCCTATCTAACTCAAATTTTGTATCCTCTGACCAACATCTTCCCAGTACTCCCTACCCCCCAACCGCTGGTGACCACTATACTCATTTCTACTTCTGAGTTAAGCTTTTTTAGATTTCACATGTAAGTGCCATCATATAGTATTTGTCTTTCTGTGCCTGGATTTTTTTCATTTAACATAATGCCCTCCAAGTTTATTTATATTATTGCACATGATGGGATTTCCTTCTTTTTGAATGCTGAATAGTATTCCATTGTGTTTATCTACTGTATTTTCTTTATCCATTCATCCACTGATGGACACTGCTTTGGGTCAAATGTATTCCCCAAAACTTGATGTGTTGGAAACTTGATCCTCACTATAACAGTGTTAAGAGCATGGGAAATTTGATTGACATTTGAAAGGTGGGGCCTTTAAGAGGTGATTGGATCTCAAGGACTGTGCCCTTGTGAATGGATTGATCCGTTCATGGAGTAATGGATTGATGGTTTAATAGGTTGTCATGAGTGTGGTTCTGCTGGCTTTATAAAGAGAGTGAGTAAGAAGGTTAGCTTTCTTGCTCATGCCATTCTAGCCATGTGATATGCTGTATTGCCACTGGACTCAGTATAGAGACCCCCACCAAGAATAAGACCCTCACTAGATGTGTTCCCTGGACCCTGAACTTCCCAGCCTCCAGAACTGTAAGAAATAAATTTTGCTTCCTTGTAAATGACCCAATTTCATGTATTCTGTTATGACAGAAACTAATACAGACACATGGATTGATCCCATGTTTAGCTTTTATAAATAGTGCTGCAGTAAACATGAGAATGCAGACATCTCTCCAACATACTGATCTCATATTTTTTGGATATATACCCAGTAGTCGGGTTGCTGGATCATAAGGTAGTTCTAGTCTTAATTTTTGGGGGAACTTCCATACTGTTTTCCATAATGGCTGTACTAGTTTACATTTCCTCCAACAGTGTGTAAGAGTTCTCTTTTCTCCACATCATTGTCAACATTTATTGTTTGTCTTTTTGATAATAGCCTTTAACAGGTGTAAGGTAATATCTCATTGTGGTTTTATTTTGCATTACCCCGATGATGAGTGACATTGAGCATTTTTCCATATACCTGTTGACCATTTTTATATCTTCTTTTGAGAAATGTTTATTCAGATCCTTTGAGCATTCTTTAATCAGGTTATCCGTTTTTCTTGCTATTGAGTTGTTTGAGTTCCTTTTATATTTTGGATATAAACCCCTTATCAGATGTTTGGTTTGCATATATTTTCTCCCATTCTGTAGGTTGTCCCTTCACTCTGTTGATTGTTTCTTTGGCTGTGCAGAAGCTTTTTAGTTTGATGTAATCTCATTCATCTGTTTTTGCTTTTGTTCCCTGTGCTTTTGGGTTCATATCCAAAAATTATTGCCCAGACCAATGTCATGGAGCTTTTCCTCTCTGTTTTCTTCTTCAGGTTGAGTGTCCCTGATCTAAAATGCTTGGGACCAGAAGTATTTCTGATTTCACATTTTTTTTTGATTTTGGAATATTTGCAAAATACATACCAGTTTAGCATCCCTAATCCAAAAATCCAAAATCCTCCAGTGAACATCATGTTCGTACTCAAAATAATTCAGATTTTTGGATTAGGGATGTTCAACCTGTAGTTGTTTTACGGTTTCAGGGCTTACATCTTTTAAACATTTTAATGGCTATGTACTGTCCCATTTATATGAACTATATACTGTTTGATATAATTCAACAGATTTTTGGATTAGGGATGTTCAACCTGTAGTTGTTTTACGGTTTCAGGGCCTACATCTTTTAAACATTTTAATGGCTATGTACTGTCCCATTTATATGAACTATATACTGTTTGATATAATTTCGGTAAAGTTCAAAAATATACAAACAATATACTATTTTGGGATACATGTATATGTACTAAAACTATTTAAAAATACCAAGGAAATAATAAATTCACAATAGTGGCTATCTCTGGAAGAGAGGCAGGCAGGTGGGATGGAGGAATTCCTGCAGGCAATTGGGATTGTCTTAGTTCTTAACCTGATTGGTGGATTTAAGTGTTTTCTTTGTTCTTATAACACAAAATATATATATATATATGTGTTCTTTTGTATATGTTACATGTATTCTTTTATGTTTATCAGATATTCTAAGAAAAACCATTGGAGCCAGTAGATCAATTTCTACTCTGGGCTAATTGCTTATACTTAACTTTTTTAGATCTAAGGTCATCTTATTTTATTTGCTATTTGTTATACATAAAACTTAGTGTATGTATTATTTTGTGAGCTAGGGGCAAGCACTCTTTTGCAGTGTTTCTGCATATCAGTAACACAGGTGCTCTTCCTATCACAGCTGTAGCAGTGGTTGTACCATTGAAATTACGTTCATGGAGCACCTTTTTTTCTGAGCATTTGGCCAGGGACTAGGAAGCTCACTCACCCAGGGAGCTGAGGCCTCAGAGAGCTCACAGTCAAGCTGCTTGTGCCCACCTCTCAAACAGTATTGGGGTCATCCTGCAAAGGAGGCATGAGCATGGAATGTGGGAGCACAGAGAAGGGGTTGGAGTTGGATGTATTTAGGAGGAACTAAAGACAGTGGTGAAATTTGAAGACAGGCTTTGAGAACTAAACTGTTTTGTCTGGATGCAGTTTGCATTCAGTGTAGCTAAGACTTGACCCTCCTTTGAGACAACTATTTCACTTGATTATGTGGCATTCTCACTAACTTCCGAAATGGTGAGAGAGTAAGTGTGGTATATTGTTGGAAATGGTTACGTATCATTAGATTATTTTCACTTTTGCAGGTACTTATATTACTACTGAATTTATCCCGTCATTAAATCACATTGATGGTAATTTTTGTATTTAAAAATGATTATAGTTTATAATTTATGTAAGTATTTAATATAATTGTATTTCAAAGCTATGATTATAGTAATTATAATATGTGTAGAATATTTAATGCCTTCTGTGAGTTATTAAGAACATAGATGCAGTTTGGACACAACATTAACTACCTGTATTTTATTTCAGAGTTATTTTGAAACCTCCATTTATTAAAAAATTTATTTTTTTCAGAGTCATATTAAATCAGTAGACTCAGGAGAAACTAACATAGATGGAGCCATTGGTGAGTAGACCATGGGACATTTTATGTCTTTGTTTGAGGTAATTTGATATTGTGATTTAGTACAGGTAAATAAACACCTATAGTAATTTACTGTATTCCTAGGACCGACGGGATCGGAAGAATTTATTAAGATCACGTTGTCAGCTTTTGAAGCAGTAATACAGTATCCTATTTTATTGAAAGACTATCGCTCTACGGTCAGTTCTGGCAGCTTTTGCAAAAAGCTCTTTTTTGTTTAGTTGGTAATTTACATATGCTTGGCTTGTGTATGTTCCTCAGATGAAAAAACCTTTCAGAAAAGCCTGCCCACTTGCAGGATGAACATAGGAAATCCCTTCCCTCTTTGACTTTCTTGGGATTTTTCTTTGCTGAAATTCTCTTTTCATCCCGGTCCACACCTTCCTCCCAGCTTACTCCTTCCTTCTTGCCTGATTATTTGTTGTAACCAATAGTACAAAAATGACCCAAATGACAGTGACTACTTTTGGATAATAAATTATATGGACATCCAAGGTATAACTAGCAGAGGTTTTGATATGAAAATGTTTTTCTACTTTCAAACACCTAATCCTACAGGCAAGATTTTAGACAGTAGTCACTCATAAGCTGGGGATTGCCTGTAATGATGATGAGTCAAAATACTGAATTTAGAAAGAAAAATTGTATTAAAGAAATTATGATATAAAGAAAAATAATTTTTTGAAATCTTTATGGTCACATAGATACCATTGTAGAACTGAATTCTGGAATTGTTTCCTCACGTTATTCTTCTCCACAACTCCCCCTTCTTCCTGCTTCCCCCACCATATACTCTTAGCTTTCTTTTTTTGCACTGAATCTTTCACTTAAATAGTATCTTTCTTGGCTGGTGACATCTTGGAATTAGCTCAGTTCTGATTTGGGTTTATATTATATGCACGTTAAAAATTTTTAGTTTATCAAATGTGGTTTAGAATGCCAAAAAAGATTGTATCTTGCTTTCTTAACTAGGAATTATTATTAAAATCAATTGTAAGTGACATTATTTTGGAATTTTACATGCTGGTTAATATACTTAAAGTTTTTGTGGAACAGTATTTAAAAGAATATGTAACTCCCTAAATGTTATAATGTTAAGATGGTTATACTACCAGCCACCCATGCTTCAAAAAGTGGACAATCTATATAAGTATCTCTTATGTTCATATGTTTTTTTCATAATTCCTTTATAGAAATCCTTTTTTCTTTCCCAGTTTTCATTTACTTCAAAATTTTTTCTTAATATCTTACTCTCTTATTTAAATTTTTTTTAACATTTTAACAAGATTGTATTTGCTTTGATGATGGTGATGGTGTGACAATAGTGATGATATTTGACTCTACTTTTTTTTTTTTTCCCCTTATTTTAGCTCTAAGAAGGATGTATAGAATCATGGGAAAGATAGAAAATATAAAGTTTAGTGAATTTTCCTTAAAATCTTTTTAGGTCTGATTTACAGTTAAAACCAAAGCTAAGTCAGTTTTATTTTATTAGCATTTAGTTATGTTTATCTTCAACTATATGAAGTAATCATTCAATAGTTATTGATTGCCTTGCCTTACGAGGTACAACTCTAGGCAGAGGAGAAAGACAGAAGTGAACAAAACAGAGTACCTTCCCCCATGGAGCCTACAATTTAAGTAGGAAGGTAGACAATAACAAATATTAAAATAAATATATAATATACGAGGTGGTAGTCAGTGCTATGAAGAAAAACTCAGAATATGAATGGGCGAGGGAATGGTATTAATGTGTCATAGAAGGCGATTATTTCCCTGATAATGAGATATTTGGACAGACACCTGACATATTCAGGGAAAGAGCCTTCTAGGCAGAGGTGATAGCAAGTGTAGTGTCTGATATTTTTGAGTCTTTCTTGTTTTATTTTTCTTAACTCCCACCAGATCTTATTATCACTCCTTTAATATAGTTAATGTTCATTTATATTCATCCACATATTTGCTATGTGTTTTGGGTTTTTTTCCCCTTAGTTCTCACTCCTTTTATCTGTCTTCACTTATTTCTGACTGAAGTATATCCTTTACAGTTCTGTTTAGCCTGGGTTTGCTGGTGGCAAATTCTCTGTCTGATAAAGTCATTATTTCTTGAGAGGTATTTTTGCTGAGTTTTAAATTCTAGGTTGGCAGTTATTTTTGCTGTTAATTAGCACTGTGCACGTATTTTATTCTCTATGTTCTCAATTGTTGCTATTGAGTGGTTATGTATTAGTCTTTAGCTTTTCCTCTGAAGGTAAGTAATCTCTCTTTTTGTCCCTTGTGTCCTCCTAAAACGTTTTTTTGGTGTGGGGAGGGTGTCTTTGGTTTTCTGTAAATTCATTATGATGTAAATTTTTTAAAACCAATTTACTCTGTTTAGGATTCTCTGTGCCTCTTGAATCTGAGGATTGTCCTTTTTCATCAGTCTGGAAAATTCTCTGCCATTATCTTTGCTTATTCTTTCTCTCCTTTGGTCTGTTTCCTTCAGTAATTCAGATCACATGTACATTAAGCTTTCTCACTGTATTTTCTATACTTCTTACTGTCTTTCTGTATTTTCTGTCCTTTTCTCTTTGAATGTTATATTCTGAATGATTTCATTTGTTCTATTTTTGTCTTCTACTATAGCCATTCTGCTACCAAATATACCCACTGAGTTTTTAATTTTAGTTATTGCTAGGGGTCTTGTTATTGCTAGAAATTCTGCTTGTCTGTTTTTTTTCAAGTCTATATTGCTTTTTGTAGTTTCCTGTAGATATTTTCAGTTTGTGATTTATTTATTCACATTTGTTAAATGTAGTTGCTTTATAGTATGTCTGATAATTCCAGTATCAGAAAATTGTGAAAGTCTTCTTTTATCTGTGGTGTCTGTTATGCTTGTTCGTGCCTAAATCATTTTGTTTCCTTGGAGGCCTGATTATTGCTTATTCTCCTTGCTGGTCATTGTCCTTGAAATCCATTCATGGGTATTCTGTGAAACCTAGTGTGGATGTTCCTAACTCTGGAAAGGCTTCACGTTTGCTTCTGCCAAGCACCTAAAGGCACTGCTCTTTAGGATACTACAAAAGAGCAGACCAAAGTCATTTGTATCCAGCGTACAAATCCCTGAGAATGTAAGGGGTCTTCAAAGAGTTCATAGGAAGATTTGTATCTTTTAAATCCATTTTCCATGAACTTTTTGAAGTACCCTTGTATAGGTCCAAGACCATAACTTCCCAGGGCAGCCTTCTCAGTTTTCAGGAGTGTGAATGTGTGTGGAGGGTTTGGTGCCCAGATCTGGTTTTTCCTTACTCTGGGAGTGTAATCTCTCCACTGGTGCCCTGCTCAGTGTAAGGAGAATCACAAAACTCCGTATGCTGGGAGGACAGGGCCTGGTGGCCCCACTGGAGCCCTGTGTTTATATTATTGGTAAATGGGCTGGCCCCATGGCGCACTCGGGAGAGTGCAGCGCTGGCTCCCGCCGCGGGTTCGGATCCTATACAGGAATGGCTGGTGGGCTCACTGGCTGAGCACGGTGCGGGTGACACCACACCAAGGGTTGCGATCCCCTTAACGGTCACGAAAAAGAAAAAAAAAAAAAAAAAAAAAAATATATATATATATATATATATATATATATGTGTGTGTGTGTATATATATATATATATATTATTGGTAAATGCCTCCTAGTCTCAGTCAGTCCCATGCGTTAATGTTCTCCTCAATTCTCTACTTAGGCTTTCATTCAGAAGTTGCTCTGAGAGTTCCCCACTGTCTTTTCAGGCCTTAAATATTTTTTACAATTTTGGTTTTTTATGTTCTGTCTGGCATTTTTTATTATTTTCAGTAAGAGAGTTAATCCAAGTAGCCATAGCCACCATAACTAGAAACCCTGTTTTTCATGGTTGTTTTCATAGCAATGAATTCTAAGTCTTTGATTGAGATATTACTTGCTGGGATGTTGCTTATTGATTCTTTTGCCTAATGAACAATAACCATGGCTAATCTGTTGAAATCCAGTGTTTATAAATATCTGTGTTGCTTTTAAATAGAAATTTAATTAGATTACATTGTAAACATAATTGCAGCATGATAATTATTGAAACTATATCCTCTATTATGATAGAAAAGGTATTATAGCAACTTACCAGCTTCATAAAAATATTTTTTAATGCTATAGCTCATGGGAAATCTTCTAATTACCTCTTCTTGAGCATGACTGGAATACATGAAGATGAAGATTCAACACCCCAAGGAACATAACATCGTTTGAAATGTTAGCACACACTATATTCAAGGCTCTTGATCAATAATTTATTATGTGGAAGTGGCTAAATACATTTAATTCTTGCTGAGCGCAGCACTTATTGCAGATTTTTCCCAGAATTTTTAGACCATTTAGCTCCTCAGAGGTGGAAATCATCAGTCTGGCCTTCAGAGCAGTCAGAAAACCACAGTGATTTGATTTGTACATAGAATTTGTTCCTACGCATGATGGTTTCAAAAAAACATTCATAATAGCAAAAGGAGAAATAAAAATTATTTCTTTATTAGAAAATTCTGGCAGTAATATACATAATTTGCCTAAAATATATTTCTATTTCTTTAACTTGAAAAAAATAAACTAAACCTTAATATATTCTTATGAAAAGCCTGTTCTTTTATAAATTTTTAAACTAAAGGCTGGAGGCTAATAAATATAGAGGAATTTATCTTTAATTAAATCAAATATTTGAGTTAATACTAAGTTTTGGTGGTGATGTAGAGGAAATGGAACTCTCAGAAACTCCTAGTGGAAGTGTAAATTGGTACAACTACTTTGGAAAACTGTTTACCAGTAGCTACCGAAGCTCAACATGTATAGTACTGTGACTCAGCAATTTTACCTCTAAATTCAGTAGAAATGCAAACATATGTTAACCAAAATACATATACAAGAATGCCCCATGGCTCCAAACTGTAAACTATTCAAATGCCCATCAACAGTCTATGAATAAATAAATTATGGTATAGTCATAAGATGGAATACTGTACAACAGAGAAAACAAATGATCTACAGTTATACTTAACAACATAAATCTCACAAAGTTAATATTGAGCTAAAGTTAACCTATACAAAATACCATGATTGTACTTGCACAGACTTTAAAAACAGACAAAATGAATCTATTATAAGTCAGGATAGTGGTTACCTGTGGGTGGT